GACATTTACTGTTATAGCCAGCATTGTGGCCATTGCAGCGCCAACCTGGTTTCGCCGTTTTGGTCTTTAGCGGCTTGTAAATTGAGTTAATTTTATGTTGTGGGCCGGGCGGTCCCTCGGTCGCTTGGTCGCTCGGTCGACCGTAGGCCGACCTTCAAAATGTCAGCTGCCGTTTTGGCTTTAGCTTCGTTATTGTTGGTTTTGTTGTTGCCTTAATGGCAGTGGCGAAGCGTCGCTGTCAGCAATGCGTGGCGTCGTCTGTCTGTGGCAAGCCGCGCGGTTGCAAATCTTTCCCAAAGTTCATAGTATTATTGGGTGAAACATTTAAATGCAAAGCAGCCGCTTCTAAACTTAAACCATTTGCTGCAAATAATGCAGACAAGTTTGTTGCCTAAGTCTTTTGTTTGCCGCACGATTTATGGTCACTTTGAGTGGAGGGGGGAAGCATTAAAATATCAAAATGATATGGGAAGATACGCCGAGACAAGTCGCAGCATGACGCCAGCAAAAAAAAAAACAAAAAAAAACTCAACAAGAAAAAATAATAATAATAGAGGCGATTGTTCCAGTCTGCTACAGTTAATGGGGTTCTAGACGGAATTAACGAGACTTCAGGCTAAAAATAACAAATGGGCCTCAATTATAACGTAACCCACGCGACGGTGCGCCGTCGTCAATGGGAAATAAAAAGCTGAGAACGCCCCAAAGGAGTTGTCGAGTGAGCCGCGTCGAGTGTTGACCGACCAACTCAAAAGTACCAAAAAAAAAAAAATAATAATAATAAAAATAAAAATTAAAAAACGTTTGATTGCCATTATTTTTAGAAATATCACAACGGCGGCCGTCTGGCTTGGAATCGGAGGTTGGGGCTGCGACCCGGCACTCGACAGTCGACCGTCGGCACCCGGATTTGTTGTTTATGGCATAACGCACAGCGTAACAAATTGTCATTTCTTATAACATATTTATTTTTATTGATTTCTGCCCCACCCGCGCCACCTCCACCGCCGCCTTCTTCGTCATTTTATTGGCATGATTCGTAGTCGTGTATTACCGATTCTATCAAAAGTGCGAACACCAACAGTCGATGGCGGCTATTTCTGGACTTGCAGACAATTAACAAACATCATCAGCATGTGCGTCATTTAACAGTTCAATTGATTTCAATCATTTCTCATTCGCGGGCAAAAGAGAATTATTTTGTTATTTTTAGCCTTTTCTTCTTTGGCTCAGATTTTGAGTGGCACCTGTCGGGTCCGCCTTGCGTGCTTGTTGTTCGCTGGCTTGTTTATCTGCCTGTCTGCGCCGCTGTCTGGAAAGTCCCCATTCCCTAACAAGTTCAAAAGCCGGCATTGCCGTCTTAACGGTTTTTTTTGCAAACGTGTTTGTCTTGCTTATCTAAATGATTTGTTTTCATAAGTCTTATTAACGCCTCGCATACAAATTGCAGGTGGCGTTAGAATTTTATTATTATAGTAAATGTAGTTCGTAATCAGTTAGAAATCTGTCAAAAGTAATACGTAGTTGTCATAATATTGGCAAAACTAATCAACAAATTATTTAACGCCACTACAGAGAATTCTGTACAGTATTCCGTGATAATGGCACGCTAGTTGTGGTCGATATTCTAAGGTATTTTTTAAGGATCGCTAAATCCCTCAGAGATTGTTTCACTTATTTGAAAAAGAAGATCTCTAGATCTTCACCTTTCCTTTTCCATTAACTTTTTTTTCATTATGAAATTAATAGTATAGTAAGTATATCTAAAAGGGTGTCAATGGAACCTAAGCTGACATTGCTAAAATCAGGTCTACCCATTCCACAGGAAGTGCTAACCTCTCGTTCAAGTTGTTGCCTTATATGCCACAAGAAATTAAGACTACGATATTGCTAATTAACAATGTTGATCGACGTCTTGTTAAAGTGATCATATTTACAGAATAAGCTGATTATAGTTATTAAAAAGCACTCAGTTCAACTGATTACTCATTGGATAGGCCAACGCTCCCCAGAATCTATTTTAAGACAATATTGCTGATGCCCTGTCCATTGTTGTTGTTGTTGTTGTTGTACCAAATGTAGTCTAAAGAATTGCAAACTTTTTAAAGGTATTTGTGCCACACACACACATTTCCCTTCCACTCACCTTAATTACGATTTCCCTTGACAATCCGGAATTCAGATCATACTGTTGCTATGCCAATCACATACGAGTAGGTATGTAAATGATATTGTCTGAATGGCTCGCTCATTATACAACCCCTTCACGTGACTTATGGCTTTGTTTACGGTTCTTAAAGTTGCGCCACCGATTAATTGATGTTATTTAATGGCATTTGTTCGATTTGTTCGCTTTCTTTCGCCCCATGCCGGCAAACGGTAGCAACTTGAATGAGCGAGCGAGCAGTGGAGCGCGAAACCGGTTCGGCTCAGTTCGACTGGGTCGATTCTCCCAATTCTTTAATTGGCAAATTCCGAGGCGGATACTTAAAGCATTTGAAAGCAATTTGGTACTTTCCAATTTGTTTCATCTACCAGAAATCCGGTTGTTCTCCTTAATGACTGTTATGAGTTGTGTGGCCAAATGAATGACTCGAGCAATAATAATTTGTTTTATTTTTATTCAGCCAGTTTTTGCACTTACACACATGCATACTCGTATATCTTTTCTGGGGGCTGGGGACCCATCTTCAACAGCACCCCCGCAATTTTTAACAATTAATATTGTTTTTTCTCCCGCTCTCCCATAGCAATGATTAATTATTTTAATTAGTAATTAATATAAGCATGAGTTTATGACACACAAAAACACACACATCCAAACCCACGCTGGGGAGTTGCAGATGAATATCCAAACATTTTGGGCAGCAACAAGTTTGTTGCCTAAGTCTTTTATTTGCAACCTCAAGCACCCATTGTTCGGTTTCCATTAATTAGTCAATTATTTTTCGCGGCATGTTAAACACAATTTATATATGTAGTATACTATATATATATATATAAACATTTTACTTAATTAATGAAGTAATAGTCCAACTATTTGCCCACACACACACACACCTAATTATGTTGTGCGGCCAAGTCCAACAAAATGTTGGCGCGTGGCCCATCAAGATTAGAGTACAAGACTCGAAATGGCCGAGTCTGCTACCAAGCTAGATAAAATCGACAAATTTATGTCGATTGTAAAACCAAATTGGTCTGTTGGCCTAACACTCAGCAATTTATGCAAAGCTCCAGGAATCACGCGTTCAAATCAAAAAGCCGCAATTTGTTCGGAAGAACTAACCGAAAGGGGCCAGTTTTTCATAAGTAGAGTCAATGTTTATGTTTATGGCGAACCTTAAAACAAGTTCGGACCAGAGACAGAGCAATGACCCAAAGAACTACTGAAGGGAATTTACACGCCCTTGCCCTCTTACCCGTTAACGACCACTTTTAATTCATAATCGATATACGACTATTACGTTTATGCAAAGAAATTCAAAACACACGTTAATTCGAAATCAAGAAATTAAATATACTCCTGCTTAGCTTTTTAGATTGCTTGCAGTTTGGCAGCAAAACAAAGTATTGGAAGATGAATGAATATTTTTACTTTAGTTCAACTAATATTATAGACTTGTTCCATCATTCATAAAGGAGGACTATTCATCAGAGCATTGTCGAATCCAGTGACGCAAAATTCCGAGCCCTTCAGTGAGAAGATTTTCTTCGCTTTCAAACCATTTGCTCCATCTTGCAATTATCTATTCACATTTTAAACACCACTTTGCTGTATTGCTTTAATTTTTTTCCACGACACCTGTGAAAACAGCTGCTGGACATGAAACTATCATTAAATTACTTGGTATTGGTACGGGTTCGTATGCTTCATGGTAATATTAATAAACAGCGCAGCATGAAGCTTACGACCTACATATAGTATGTATGTACCTCAATGTTTAATGGTGAGAAAACCCGCAGCTAGGTCTTTTGCATTTGGTCGAAGCTACGGCAAGTGTAAAAAGGTTTGAATTGGTTTTAATATGTGCTTTTCTGTAGTCAGGCTAAAATTTGGTTAAAAACTTGTCACCCGCATGCGTTTCTAGTACTGAAGCTGTCCGTTAACGCCACTTGAAAGACAAGTGTAGCAGATCTTGAATTATATGGACTTTTATCGGTCAGAGCCGCCTTTGTTAAAAACTGAGTGTATTACCGATTCGGTAAGGTTGTCAATTAATTAATTAGCCGCATTAGCTGTGTTCGCTTCAGCAGCTCATAGAAACTCAATATTAAGATTTTGAAATTGGATTCCCTGCCAACGGTGCTCGCATAAACGTAGTTATAGTAGAAATGAAATGCAAATTAATATTAATTCGAAATTTAATCGCAAGTATGCATGCACAATGCAACGACGACAAACAAACGAGCAACAAATTAGCACAAAATTAATTGTGTTTGGTATGAGCGGAACAGACAGAAGCAATAATGGCTTTAATCGCTGGGATCGCACCGATCTAGCTTTATCTGTGTCGTGTCATTGCTTTGCCTAGCATTTTATTTTTATAGTCTGCACCCGAAGAAAGTACCCTCCATTGTGTACATAGTACGTATATACAAGTATATTCTTAAATTGAATGTCGAATAAAATTGAATTGGAAGTGTACTATACATACTTACCCGAATGAAGAATGTATATATTCTGTCTCTATGAACGCCTTAATTTGGTAAACGGCCGAGCCCATATTGACCAAACTTGGCATGCAGACTCCTCTAGACTAGTCTCTAAGCAGCATGACATCTCAGGGAAAGAATCGCAGCAACGCCTTCGTTGTTCATTTTGCTTAAGCTAAGCGGATTTCGTTGTCGCGGACTTGCTCGACTCCAACATTTCTTATTTCCTAAAATATACATAAATAGTGATTCCGTTCGCTTTCACTGCTCGGTATTAGCATAGAAGTCAGATAAATCAAAAATATACATAATATATATACATTCAAATATACATGCATGGTATGTATATTCCATAATATTGTTATTATTATTATTTCTTTTATTCAATACATTTCAAATGTGTAAAATAAATGATTAAAGTGCGGCGTGTAGATTCAAAGCCAAAACTTAATTAAATGCTGAAGGAAACTTGTCTGGCACTTAACTCTGCCACTAATTGAATTTGCATTTGGAGAAGTCCATTTCCGGATGCTGTTGCTTGAATCTGCAGGAAAACCCAACCAATGAAATAAAAGGCATGATAATAGTAGCTGGCCACTTACTTTTCGAGTATGTCCTGCTTTTTGCGATCATCACTGGTGGGCAGACCCATTTCCTTTTGACGCTGATCGAACATCATTTTCTCGACCATGCTGCGGGTCTCGCCATCCAAATCGGACAGCTTGGAGGGCTCTGGATTTATTTTGCGTGTGGAGATTTCAGGATCGCTGGTCACTAGACGACTCCACCAATTCATTTTGTTGACCTTCATAAATAAATTAGTTATATTCCTTTAATCAACAGCAGATTAGGCTCACCTTTTCCAGCGTAATGAGCAACGTTTTGCTATCTTGCAGCACCCAGACGGACTCATCCTGCTTCACCTCAGCACAGAGCTCGCCGTCAATAATGGGCTCTTGACCTTTAAGGCCCACTTTCAGCGACTTCTTGCCAATGCTGACCACCATGTCGCGGGCACGCAAAGCGAATGTTACATTGAAGGGGATTTTGAGCTGTAACACAAAAAATAAAAAAACAAACAAACAGAATTACAACAAATTGATTACAATTGAAAAATAATAACAAATTAGTGCTTGTAAGCAAGCGGCCAACAACTACAACTACAACAACAACAACAGTTACTGCTCTATAATCAGTTGGGTGCCGTTGCTCAGTCATTGTTGTGGCAACCTTGAGGCACGTATCTGTATAGCGGCTAATTCAAGAAACAAGCACGAGAAGAAGAAAAGGTCTATAAATACAACCAACCACTGACAGAGCAGCAGTCAAGCCAACAAGCCCACCTATCCACCGATCAGAGAGTCATCTGCAATCAGACAATCTTTATGCCCTTCACCAGCAGAGCTCTCAGAACACGCATAGCTTGTTCAAGGATACTGCTCGGATTCAACGGGAGTTTAGTTTAATTGCAGCGCAGTTCAAGGACGCAAAGCGCTTGTTTTTCTTAACAGCCAACCAACCAGCCAGCCAGCCAGAAGAAATCCGGTTGCAGGATAGGGCGGCTGTCCGTTTATTCATTCGTTCGTTGGTTCGTTCGCATATGGAATGCAGCCCAACAGGTTGCACGCAGACATTATGACCATAAAGTGGCCAAGCAAGCGGATTGGATTTATTGCACCCAAGCAGCCAGCCGCCAAGAAGCTCGCCCTTGCCGGTGGCTGACAAGTTCAATTAAATCAGCGACAAAAGATAGTGTTGCCGCAACCACAAGGCATGCCATCCCCAGAGGCTGTTGTGGCTCATTTGTGGCTGCCACCAAGTTCAAAGCCATTACTACACTGACCAGCACAATTGCTGCACACACACTACTTCAGCAGTGGGTCATTAGCAATGCATAGATTGAAGAATCCTACACTATTTTGTGGCTTTATAATTAGCTAGTATACCCTTTGGGTACAGGGTATAAAAAACAATATTAAAACACCAATAATTCAAGCTCCACAAATTTCAAAAAACAAAGAAGTAGATTTTGGTAGAATTTGTTTTGTATACAAACTAAGTTTGAAGTCGATCGGTTGAAAAATTCGGTTTTTTCATACAAACTTTGGAGTCTCGAATTTTCCAAAACCCCTTTTTAGTGGGTACCTGCACTATGAAAAGACACTTGAGTCCAAATTTCTAGCTTTCACCGTTTGGGCCAATCAATAGCTTTTATTGAATAGATTATTATTAAATATTAATTGATCACAGTTTGCGTGCAAATTATTTGCATGTCTGACCATATCTTTAGTTATTAACACAAATCTTCTTCCAAGCCATCGATATTGGAAATTGAAATCATCAATAAAAACCTAAAAGTGGTTGGCCACTCTAATTATGCAGCACATTTACACCTCTGGTCATTAGCTCGAATGAAAATTAATATTATTGGTATGTGGAGTCGCATAATTAATGTGCGCTGAGAACAAAAAGCAATTGCAACAACAACGAAGGCAAAACTGCAGCTTGCAATTAATTAGTGAGACCCACTTGCACACTCACACTCACACACACACACACACACTCAAACACAATCACACACATGCAACTGCGTTTGCAACCGCATATGTGAGACTTGAAAACAATGTTAGACGAATGTTTAATTAAAATCTCACGATGTGCTAGTCAAGGACGCTTTCGTTTTTTTTTTTACGCTCGGCAAAGAAGCGACGCTCGGACGAAGTGTGTGGGCAGCCAAGGCAGCTACAACAACAACTCAATTATAGCCACAACTACAACATAAAAAGTAGTAGCAACTCATCCAGTACTGCACTTGCTCAGCCGATTTGCTGGCATTAGCACTCGAGCGCACTTTTCAATGACATTGCCAGCTTGGCTTGGAACTGTGGAACGTGGGTCGTCATCGTCATAGTCATAGTCGTCTTCGTCGTCGTACTATTATTGAAACATAACATTTGTGTCAAAATACAAAAAACACCTGAACTGAACTGAAGCGGATGTCAGAAATTGGGATTTGAGAAGTGTACGCGGATGTAACCGCTGGCAGAGTCGAGTTTTTGTTGTCTTCGGACCAGGTGGGCGACAGCAGAAATTATTCCACTGCCCATTTGGTGATGAATTTATGACAAGTAGCTGTCAGTTGTTGTCAACTAGAAGTCTTCACAAATACTCTCATATACTTGTATATGGTGTATAGATATAATGATGTAAGAGTTATGCCAATGAAAGGCAATCAAATTGGATATTTAATGAGTTACTCTAGGAAATAATATACCAATTGGATTATACAGAATTATCTCTGCATATTCAAATCTACCAGGAGAAAATGCATCTGCTAACGAAGCTTTTTTTTAATACAAATTCTCTTTACGAAAATATAAAGCTCTATTCTGGTGGATGGCTTAAAAGAATGTTGAATGCAAAAAAAGTGTGTTTTTTTTCCGAATTAAATCTAAAAGACATTCACAATTACGTTATTCGCTAATTAGCTGAAAGAGTAATGCTCTGGAATGTTGAATCGTAAATATACGTTACTTTACAAATAATATTGTTAGAATCGATCATTTTTCGAAGAGCAGAACATCGATGAATAATAATAGCGATATCAACTCTTGATCGGTTGAAACAGAAATGGTGCCAAGTATTAACGCATTTGATTGACGAATACTCATAACGAATTGTCGAGTGCTATGGTAATGATTTTTTATTAGAATAATCAAGAATAAAGCAAAACAAAGTAGGTTAAACATTTTATATTTGTTAAGAGTGTTTTGTTCAAATAATACTACTGCCTGTAGTTGTTCTATTTATGCTTATCAACTTGGGTTTCAACTAGATGGAAAATTAACAATTACATTTTCAATGTTCACAATGTTTTATTCTTTCAAATAATGCTCTTCTAAATAAACGGACGCTACAACATGGAGATACACATATTAATTGTTTAAAACTTTTGCACGAAACACAACTTCAGCGTGCACTTTAAAAAATGAGTTTTCGACTTCAAAGGTCCACCTCCCCAGTATGCCAAATCAAATTGCCAAAAATTCCGTTTTGATAATCTTATTAGAAATCTTGATACAAATTGTGAAAATGTGTTTTAATAACGTTTTATTTACATACATTACATAAGCTGTGCTTTTTACTTTCGCCACTACATAGACAGACGCTCATCGAGATTGGGACAAAAACGTGAAATACCATTGATTGAGTATAAAGAAGTAGAAAAGTTTACACACTTTCTGGGGCTAAAAAACTTGTAAAACCCAATTTTTGGCAAAGACTTTACAGTGTGGTTTGTTTTATTCCCTAACCGCAAATGGTTGGAAAGAAGTCAACTAAATTTTCTTTTGTGCAAGTCGAGTGGGAATTTGTGATGACGGCACTACCTCTTACTGTAAATGATCTTCAAAATAACACAGATCAGTAGACAATTTGCTCTTATTGCGAAACACAAAAGCTATTTTTATACCCTGTACCCGTAGGGTAAAAAGGGTATATTAGGTTTGTGCAAAGTATGTAACATGCAGAAGGAAGCATCTCCGACCCCATAAAGTATATATATTCTGAATCAGCATGACGAGAGAAATCGATCTAGACATGTCCGTCCCTCCGTCTGTCCGTCCGTCTGGATGAACGCGAGAATCACAGAAACTATATATATATATATAAACTATACTAGAATAACCAAAGTTGGCATCCAGATTCTCCTAGGTCCGAGAAAGGACGAGTTTATTTTAATTCCCCCCCCTCCCCCCCCCCCCCCCCCCCTTCCCACGCTACAGAATTTCGTCAATAGCGTCCACATTTCAAATGCTACCTAAACCAAACTTTGCACACATAATTTATATATTTTCTACTGTTGTTCAAAATTTTATTCAATTCGGTCAATTCTAAGAAAAATTATTAGCGAAACAAATTCTCGCCAGTACAACCTCCCCAAACTGCAGCAACAAGTTCGCTCTTCTTTTTCCTCTTTTTGCTGCTGCTATGGGCGCATATAACTCAGTGACGGAAGTTTACCTGGGTACAGGGTATTACACTGTCGGGCTTGCTCGACTGTAGCGTTCTCTCTTGTTATTACTTAATATCAATATTAATGCATTCGCTGTCTTCTAAAAGAATTCAGTTTCGCCCTAACTATTCACTTAGTGCGGCTGAAAACAGTATCGTTAACTTTTGTTCACGCTCCATTCATGTTTCACTTCAAAATTCAAATTCAACAGCAGTTCTCAAATAGTTGTGTAGTTGCAAGTCTGCTATTGTAGTTGTTGCTGTCTATTGTTAGCCCAGCCATTGAGCTTGCAGTTTATTAATAGTCTTTTGTGTGTTTGAAGGGAATAATGTGCGCATAAAAGCCACTCGAGCGCACTTGGTTCAGGCAGAGCTTTCACACATTAAAGATGTCTGCCTATAGAGAGGAGCTGCCACTCGAGAGTCTGCAGAGGTGTTGCCATTGTTGTTGTTGCTGCCATATGAAGGTTACAGCACGCTTTACAAAACACACTCACACACACACATGCAATTCTATTCTACACCATTTATGAGGAACTTACATATAAAATCATGAGGTGAGCTGACAGAGACGGCCATTCACTGCACATTAAATCATAGAATCAAAGCAAATAATAGTGCCCCATAAGCTTCATGTACGGGTAAATGGGCGTGCTAAGAGCTGAAGAACCATCGAGATGATGCGGCAAAAATATGCAGATAAAGACAGCAGTTCGATGCTTCGAAGAGTCAAAGGTACAAGTCAGCCTAGACACGGTGGCAGGCCTGGCAAGTCAAGTCTCAGAGTTCAGGCTATGAAAAGGTGTCGTGAATTAATGAATAATAATAATAGCAATAGCAGCCAGCATTCATATTGATTATGACTTTGAGCCACGCACGACATGGCACACTTATTGATGTCGATAGACAGCTGATTATGCGCATAACTAGCATATACAGACATACACACTATACATACTATAAATCGGTTGAACCGTTGAACCGGCTAGACAAAAGCGCCCTCTAGCGACATCTCATCCTCAACATATGCAAATACTTC